ATGTGTATGGCAGAGTGAAGTCTGCTACATTGTGGCTGTGCTCATTAGTGTGTGACAGGCTGAAGTTTTAAATGTATAGACCTGAGTAATGCTGGACTGTTGCCTTTTTGAACTGGGCAACACTCCAGATCTAAATGCTTCCAGCTCATATCTTTGCTTCCCCAGACTTACTGTCTAGCCAGTTAATTTCCCATTCTGTGGAACTACAAAGTCTTTCTCTGCATGCAGAACTACTCAGGTCAATTTTCCATTTGAGTATAGCAAACTCCAGTGTTAAATTCCAGCTTTTTGCAGCTGAATCAACATCTGCATTTACTCGCTATGCTCAGATTAAGTTCATACTTACCATGTGAAATCCAAATATATGTCTGAAGCTGTAAAATGCTATTTGGCTTTACAGAGTCCTGAAGACAGGTTCCTTTAATCTTTTGTGACTTCAGCTATCTAATTTGAGACCATTCATTTTTCAGATCCATGAACACAGTCTGGATTGTAATGAGCAGCTGAACAGATGCATTCGCTGGGCAGATGCCCTGGTGATTGTCTTCTCCATCACTGACTATAAGAGCTTTGAACTACTCAGTCACCTTTACCATCATGTTCGACAGCTGCACCCAGGGAACCTGCTCCCTGTCGTCATTGTGGCAAACAAAGCTGATCTCTTGCATATCAAAGAGGTGGAGCCTCAGCAGGGACTTCAGCTGGCCAATATGCTGGGCTGTACTTTCTATGAAGTATCTGTCAGTGAAAACTATAATAACGTCTTCAATGCCTTCCATCTCCTCTGTAAAGAAGTCAATAAACAGCAAATAACCAGCACCCCTGAGAGGAGGAGAACCTCTCTTATTCCACGGCCAAAGTCACCCAACATGCAGGATCTGAAGAGAAGGTTTAAGCAAGCTTTGTCTGCCAAAGTGAGGACTGTCACTTCTGTTTGACAGCACAGCCCTTGGTCTACCCAATGTTTAGCTTGAGATTGAAACCTGGGGTGTTTAACATTGGCACATGTAGAATCCAAGATATTGTGAAAGGAGGATGGTTTGAGTAGCCTTTTGCATGGTAGAAGTCTTTAAGCAGTTGCTTAAAAAAAACCAGTATCAGATTAGAAAAGGGGAAGAAAAAGACCATAAAACCACCTGTAAAAGTTGTACTTTGCAACTTGCTGAACAGATATTTTCATTTGGAAAGGGACCTTTTCAGTAAATGAAACCATTTGCCTTTTCCCCAGTTGGACAGATTTGGCTTTCATTTGTGCAGAAACAACTTTTTTGCTGTAACTCAACTTGAGCAGGGAAATGCCCTGAACTGCAGGTCCCTGTTCAGAAGTAACCGCTTGAGTTTTGTTCTCACATGGATGAAGGACAGCATGATGCAACTGTATAATTTTATTGCACAGTAGAACTGGTTTTGTTCTGTATATTTCAAAGCAAATAAGCAAACATCAAATGGTTTTGTAAAAATAAGTGTAAAATAAGTGGACAGGACTGAACATCAAGACTGTAAACAATGGTCTTTATTTTTTACTAGCCATGTTATTGCTGACAACTTGACCTTACTCTTTGTATGCAAAGCTATTGTCTACAGGGTGTAAACATATCTAATTGCAAACAACTTTTACTCTCTTAAAAAAGTACTTTCCAGACTAAATGATCCAACATGGAACTTCTGAGGAATGTGTGTGGAGTGATAGTCTAATACAGATGCCATTCTAAGACATCCTTTTTTCTCTCTCTCTCTCTCTCCCGTGTGCAGTAGGTGCAAAAAGAACAAAAGGTGTGAAGCATGGCTGGCTCCAGGCAATGAAGCTGATGGCTTGTTCTGAGCTGAGCCAGATCCTCTTCCTCCTTAAACATATGGCAGATTTTATATAAATACTAAATTCTTTTTAATATTGAACCAATGGAGTTCAGAGCCTAAGGGCCTTATACACATGCACTTTAAAAAGCCAGTCGTGCTTTTGTTTAAACTGTAACTTATTTATTTTGTGTACAGTTACTCCTCCTAAGCAGTGGACTTTTCATTCTTACTGCCTGGTACAACATTAAATTTTTGAATTGCATGTTTCCTTGTGTGTTCTTTGGGGGTGAGAAACGAGGAGTAAGAACCAGTGAATGTTGAGACAAAGTAATAGCTTTCTTAAGGTAGCTAACATACCCTGCAGAAACAGCAAGGTGTCCTTTCCTGCCTATGCTGTTGCTTTATTAGCATAAACCACAGGGGTTTTGCTCTCACAAGTGCTTTACAACTTCCTTTTAAGAAATTCCTGTAGGAGAGGAACTGAATAAGGCAGAGACCTTTCAAATTAAAATGGGATTCTTCATTTCCACTTGTCAAAAATACTTTGGTCTTTAGTGAGAAGGGAATAGTGTGAGGTAGGTCAAAACCTGGAAGAACATTAACTCTATGTGACTGCCACTTTCTTTACAAAAATTTATGTTTTGAGCTATATCACTGTGAAGACCTTAATCAAATTGCAAGTCTTCAACTATCTTTTTCATGTTTAATGTAGCTTTACTAAAAGCCTGCCTGAGGGGGATGTTTGTGCTGGTAGTAGGCTGATGGCTATACAGGCTCACCTTGTTAGCACACAGCTGCAGTAAGTGATGCAGGGAAACTGACAGGGCCCCTGATGATAATCTTTTGGACCATGAGTTACTAGCCAAGTGATTTAGGATTGGAGTTGCAAACAAAACTGAGCTTATACCAAATAGTGCTTAGCTTATTAATAGAGAAGTAAATCAATTTCCCAAGAGTAGCTTTATGTTTTTTCTTCTTTTTGCCTTCTGAGTATTGCTTGGTGTTGCAGGCAGAGGACTCAGACACTTTTTGCTATGGTCTTGCACCTGCCCATTCAACTTTCTTCTGTACTGTTTCTACTCACGTGGAACTGGCAGGAGATCCCTCATCCCTTCACCTTTTCCCCCAGCACAGGGTCCCTGTAGCTGCTACAGCTATTTCCTACAAATAAATAAGCTTACTATTGCACTAGGGCCACTGGAAAGTCTCCACTGTACTTTTGGTCCATAAGCAGCATCAATTACCACAGCTGTGGCCCCATGGGCTGAGAAGATTCCTCCAAAGTGTGTGTGGGCTGGGAAGCTAGTGTCTGTCTCTATCTGACCCAGAGGAAGTGCAAGATCACTGCTGTCTGCTCAGACTCAGGCCCTGCCTCCTCAACACAGTAGATGGCCAAGTCAGAGACCTGAGGGCATTTGATGAAAGACAGGTGAGGGGGTGAAGACCACAACCAGCAGCCTCCAGCAGCTCAGGAAAGCAGCAGCATCTCAGAGGTGTGAGTACCTGAGCTCAGCAATGGCACTGAAACAGGCAAGCCTTTCTGCTATGAGCTGAGTTTAGGAAATGTTCTAGGACCAAGATAGACGGTCTAGATTCCTTGGGGCAATCAAATAATGCAAAAGTAAAAGGGATTGCAGGAATATGCACTTCTGGCATGTGTAGCTCTGCATACTAGGAGAAAAGGAGAAGGCAGATTAGGTTTGGCATTGTGAGAGCGTTGCTTTATTGATTACAGAATTTATGAAACAACCATATTCTAAGAAAGATTGAACGGTACAGAATGACAGAAAAACCAAGAGACCAACTACTTGCTTGCCAGTTGCTCTATTCAAACTATTCCTTGAGCTTTTAATATTGCAATCATAGCATTTCTCATTTTTTCTAGCACAAAGTTCCATTCTATAGTCATTCTTATAAATTTCTCTTCCATAGAGGAGACATTGTCTGCGCTTTACAATCAGCCCATTGTTTACTTCCAGCCACTCAAAATTGAATTTAAACCAAAATGCACTCTTTGCTGAAGACCATAAACATTTAGGAGAACTAATGCTAGCTAGTGAACAAAATTTAAAAAACTACTTCCCGTTTATTCTCCTCTGGCATAATAAAGAATGCTGTGATAGAGTGAATGTCACTTAATTTCACATTCTCATCTCAGTGTAAGCTGTAGTTGTAGCATTACTTGGATGAAGTAAGAGGATGCAGCTTTAGAGCTCCACCATTTTATGTTGCAATTCAGAAATCTCGGTGCTATATGCAATTCTCTATTGGCTGCTGCTCTTTCATCACAGATTGTAGCAAAATTTTATAAAGAAAAGTTACATAACTGAATTTGCAGCTATTTCATGATCATAAATTAAAAATAAAAGCTGTTTTGTAATAATGCTATTCAGAAATCTAGCTCAAGAAAGAATCTGTGCTGTGGCCTCTTGAAAATGGGATCATGCCCTTTTTTAAAATTTTTATTGTTCCTTCTTTTTTAAATGCATGTGAGGGGAGGATTCTTTTGGGGTTATCATCAAACCATCACAGCCCATATGGCCTCCTGCATAAATCTACAGAGATGTGTGCCATCAGAAACTGTCTTTTCTTCTGGGACTGTGGGTGGAGAAACTAGAGCAGGAAACTGAAGGCTGAGAGCCATGTAACCCAGCCCTTGAGTCTGGCTCTGCTTCCCTGCCTCCAACAGTCCTGCTGAGAGAGCATGGCCAGGCTGGGAGCTGTGTGCCAGCCTGATCAGGCTCTGTTCCATGATCTCTCTGGAGTGAGGAACAAAATGCGAGTAGATGCTGTTAACATTGTACAAGGCACACATCTTGCAAGGTAGCATGACAGAGGGTGGATTTTGCTAGCCTCTCACTCCCTCAGCAGCATTTCCCACCAGCAAGCCCAGCAAAACCATCAGGAAAAACAGTACTGGTGGGGAGTGCAAATGGTGCATCACCTGGTTCTCAGCTGCTCCTTTGCTCGGGAATGATTACAAACAATCACCCTCACCATGCTGAGCGAGGCTGGGAGTGATTCAGCACTGCGCAGTGCTATCGTCAGGGAGGGGAGGTTGGTTGTTGGACAAATGGACGATTCTGAAGAGCTGCCCATGAGCTGCAGGTGTTCCCTTGCAGCCAGATACCCTGCTGTTTACCTGCAGCTGTTATTGCAGCAGTTGACACATCAGTTTTTGGAGGGCTCTTGAGAAGAGTGACAGAGCAGGCACTCATCTTCTCCACAGCCTCCCTCGTCAGATGCGAGCGTCAGGCTGGAGACGGTCTGAGGCAAACAACAGCTCCACAGCACTGTGTGGTGTCAGGAGCACAGAGGAGAGCACAATTACCTGAAAGAAGGGGAACAAGAAGCAACAAGTCAAGCTGAAAGGGATTGAGACAGTACTAATGAGCCATAGACAGTAACTGTTTGCTTTACCCAGCTCTAGGCAGGCTGTCTGCCTCAGGTGTTTACTGATAGAGCAATGCACCTTGTCCAGCAAAACTGACTGCTGGCTAATAAGTGCAGTTAAATCTCTTTAAGGAGCATAATGACTGCTAGCATCGTATGCTTAATGAATGTGTGCTTTGACACATTTCTACCCACATTTTACCTGGTGATTTGTTGTGACTGCCAGTGCATTTACTGTGAGGCACCAGCTGATGAAGCTGTGGTTTCCTCTCCGACAGCATAGATCAGAGTGATGCCTGTTTCCTCTCAGTTGAAGGTAAGGTGAGCAGCACAGAAGTGCCTGCTGCAGGAAGCCAGACTCTCGGTTCCAAACCATTTTTTCAGACCAGGCACAGGCTGTTCTGTGCATCAGGCTCAACCTTGAGCACTGTCAGATGTTATCACTTTGGTTTCTTCCAGTTTTTAATCCCAAATGGGTCTGATAAATGAAACCATTGCTCACTACAACCATGACAGACATGCTGCTAGGTGCAGGTATCTGTTTTCCCTGAGTGAAAACCAGTATGTAATTATGTGGTGTGAAGTCTTCTCTGCAGAGCAAAGCTATCATCCAGGAGTGAGTGTGTACACTCTTGCTCTGAGGAGCTAAGTCAGGGTTGAAATCATAGGATACTGCTCTTACTGAGCCCCTAGTTTAGCAGTGTCCATAGGGTCAGGATTGCAGGCTGGGATCTGGGGGCTGATTTAATCATTCTAGCTCACTTGAAAATGATTTTGCTTCTTCAGTGCAAAACTAAGGAGAGGAAGCACAAACATCAACAACAGAGTATATGTGTCCATCTACTGCAGCAGCTATCAAATGCCTTGTGCTGTCCATCATGTAGCTTAAGTATGTGGTAATGCTGCATTTCAACTTTTTTTGTTGCTCTTTCTTTCATCTTTTCACTTCAGATACTGAAAAGATCCCTTCTGTATTGGTGATAGCCTCCCCCTCACTTCTCCTCTTCCCTTGTCCTCCCACACAATCTGCAGCAAACTGACACTGATTATCTCTTCCTTCACAAGCCTGAAAAAGTCTCTGTAACTTGCAGATGCCAAAGGCTGACACTGTCTTACTTATGTTACATGAGAATCAGACTATAGTACAGTATGTGCTCATCTTGTTATCATGCATCTTTAACTCTGAAAAACATGAAGGGACATGTTACTGAAGTTTTTCTAGTGTACAAGCCAAACATCAACAATAACCACCAACAGATAAAGCAATTTCTTCTTGGAGTCCTACTACTGAATCCTCAGGAGATTTGTGCAACAAATAGCAAGCCCAGAGTGAAAAATGAGATCTCCAACTTTAATGTCTCAGAAAAGATGCTTGAATACAGCAGGACTTCTTTCCCTCCAGTGTTTCCAAGGGCTTGTTGAGGGGGATAAATGTGAATGTTTGTTCTTTCATTTTTACAGAGGAGAATTGCCCAGATAAGCTGCAGGCAGCTCTCTTCAGGACAGTCCTTTGCAGCCCATCTCCTTGTTCCATACCCTATGCCTGCCTTTCACCCTTCACCTGAAGGGCTCTCCCCTCCTAGTGGCAGCCAAGGTGGAAGAGCCAGGAGCTCCCATCCTGACCCACTGAATTCCAATGGGAAATTTCCCCCCAGCACACCTGAAGGTAGGGAAGGATGGAGCTAGCATCTAAAGGGGCATCTGAAAGTTTATCAGTCTGCTGGCCTCAGCCACGACCACATTGTAATGTTGGGAGAAGGGAGGGAGAAACATGTTGGTTGTGTGTTGGGAGAATGGAGGGAGAAACATTCTCTCATGCTCTTTCCACTTTATTACTCTCCTGATAAGCAGAAAAAGAGAAGTAATTTCTTCCTTAAAAAATAGGATACTTCTCACTAGTTATGGGGAGCTATTTGCCACCATCAAAAACCAAATGGTGCATAAGAAACACTATTTCTTTGTGCTTCTCCATGAGAAATAAAATTGTCATTCAGATTCAGATGCAGAATAGTTCTGTGGATGGAAACATGTGTCTCTTATTCCACATTTAAATGTCATTTGCTTCAACTCCAAACAGTTGCTGAAGTAATCAGTGCATCCTGTCAGTTTTTCTTCAATTCCTTTACTCAATTTTTGTACTTACACATTTCTCCAGTTTTCCAAGAGCCAGTAATTAGTATAAATGTTAGTGCTTTGTTTGACTGGAATGGACTTGGAAGGCCAGTGTTTCCCTGAAGCCTGAACCTGACTGCCTGAACAGCACAAAAAGGCTCTGTTAAATCCTGGCTTGAGTTAGATAAATGCCTGGCTTTTTGAAAAGAAAGTAATCCTAAACAGGTGCTGTATATTCACAACTATAGTGCAGAAATCCAGGTAAAGCCAACAAATTTACAAACTTTTTTTTTGTGAGAGATTTGCACAATTGCTTAGTTTTTTCTTTCTCTTCCTCCTCCCTCCTCTCCCCCAAAGTTCTTTCACCTCTAACACAGCACAGTTGGATAAAGGGCAAGATGCAGCAAAAGCTTAAAATGCTTTAGGAATCTGCCTCAGAGGGTGACCTGCTGCCAGGGTTAAGCCAAAGCAAAGCAACACCAGATCCCATGTCACCACTGTCAAGCCTTAAGTCCCTCTAGAAAGCTAGTTGAAAATCTCCCTGCATAGTTCTCAACTCACTCAGATGTTAACCCTCTGTTTATCTTTCAGGGTGTCTTAATACATTTTGTGTGTGGATTAACTTGTCCATCAGTGTGTCACAACTCAATTCCCTCCAAGAAGGAAAATATAATTTGCTATTTAGAGGAGATTAGCAGCAGACTAATGGGGAAGAAAGGTGATATCAGATTCTAAGAAACTTGCTAAAATGGTACTCCATCTTACAAAATACTGCTTGAGACTGCCTTGCAAAGACAACTGAAACATGGAAGCACATGTCAGACTGAGGGGCTGCTTTGCCTGTGGTTGGCTCCATTTTGCTAATGATTTCTCAATAATCAAAATTGCCTTCCACAGGACTTGAAAACAAGATGTTTGCCAGCCGCCCTGGAAACCAGAGTTATGTTTATGATGCAGCTGGTTACACAGCACTTTGGAGTCTTTGTATTGTCCTGTGTGTCTGCAGTACTCAACAGACACCTGCTTGGTCCTCCACAATTAATGATGATTTTTAACACCTCAGGTGCCACCAGAGCTCACCCATCCTCCTCCTCTCCCTCCTCCATTCCAATGACAGTTACTGTAGTCAAGTTCTGCTGCCAGAGAGCGGATGAGGCAAAGATCAGCCACATGGACATTACTGAAGGCTCACTGTGGGAACCATCCCTTCCAGGAGTCCAACTGCACATTCAAAGGGTGCAGAGACTTGGGGCTTTCTGCACATAACCTGCTTCAGGCTACTTAAGGTCTAGTGGTCAGCTATCAGAAACAGCTGGCCAGACACAGGGAGAGTACAGCTTTATCCAGGTTAATTTATTTTGCTCCTCACCATTGCTAATTGCAGGATTACCACTGATAAGTCACTAGGTGGTACCCAGGCTCCTGAGTATCCCTGCACTATGTCTCGTAGATGGATGACCAGGGACCCTGTAGCTTTTTGGACAGCAAATGTTTCTGTTTATAAAGAATACAAAGAAACTAATCTCTTGAGACATGATGGAAGCTACTTCAAATTAATGCTAGTCTGTTCTGAACTCTCCAACCTGAGTTTGAACTTTTGTTGCTGACTATAATGTGAAAAAACAAACCCATGGTGCCTGAATACTTGTTGCCTACAGATGTTTCACAACAAAATCCTAGCATCATTCCTGCCCATATGGCTGTGGCTTTCTGTATGTTTGGTACCAGTGCTATAGGGAACACTATTTGATGAATTTTCATAGTTTTTGTTTGGACAGGAACTGTATGCTTGGAGCTGTTTGTACCTGGGTACCAGGTTTGCGTGTTGCTACCAAATCCTTCACCATTTTGACCTCGGAGACCGACACTCCTCCCACCATAAAGATGATCAGAAGAGGATGATCACCAGGGTGAGGGCGATTCACCTGGAAGATGAAGAAAAGCATTATTTGTACTCACTTCATCCGGGTCCATCCAGGATGATCAGCTCCCTAAGTGGCTAGAGGAAGACCAAAGAGGAAGCTCAGAAAGAAATATTCATGGAATGCTGTAGCAGCTGAGAGGGAAATCAAAAATGGGGAGGATGCTCAGCTAGAACTAATTAGCTGTTTCCAGGGAAATAACATCTCCATGGACTCCCCTGAAACCTATGGGAGTTTCTCCTTAAGTCTCAGGGTTTCTCCCTCCATTCCTTCTTCATTACTTTCCTCCCTTTCCCAGAGAGGGAGAAGAGTACTTGGGTGGATGTTTACTTTGGATACACATACACAGGAGATTTTAGGGAATGAGGGGTAAATTACTACCCAGCAGAAGCAAGGAGTCCAGCCCAAACATGCTAGAATCCCTGCCTGAGGTCAACATGGAAAAGAATTTTATGCAATGTGTTTTCACCAGTGCAGTGAATAATCTTTTACAATTCATCCAATAAAAATAAATAAGGTCCATTGAAGTATAAAATCAGCTTACAGCTTGTTTCAATTCAGAGTTTTCAATGCTTCTATGACTACCTTTAGCTCCAAGAAAATACTTGTTTCATTTTTCCTCAATTATCTTTAAAATGGCACAAATATTCCACTTCAGTTAAGACCTCATAATTAATTTTAAATGTGAAGATGATGCTTTAATTAATTTTAAATATATATTTTAATTTTAAATGTGAAGATGATGCTTTACATCAGTTTCCTCTTAGCCACTTCTAGAAGTTTGATAACTTTGCTGTTTCCTAGCAAACTGTTTCCTTCTTGAGAAAACACACTCCCCTGACACTACCTTGATCCAGTCTTTGGGAGGGATGTCAACAGAGCCCATGCAATTGCTCTTGTCACATCATCCTGGAGCATGAAACACTCCAAATGTTCAGTTCAGAAAAGTGGCAAAATAGTTTAATTCCTTTTTAGACTCTCTGCCTCCTCTCCTTGTGTGAGCGTAGGCTTTTAACAGCATTCACTTGACAGAGTGAAATTGGTGTCAGTCCATGTTTGGGCAGAGCAGGGCTCCTTTGCTTTCCCCACCACAGCAGCTTGCTTTGATCCTTGTGGCTCCAGATCCTGGGGGTACAGCTCCTCTTCTTTTCCTTATTGTGGCTTTCCTATATTTAGTCTTTCGGCACTTTTTCATCCTGCAGGTCTGTCAGGCTTTCTGCCTGGTAACCTTCAGCAAGGACTCTTCCTTTTGAAGCCAGCACAGGGAGATGCTCTCTCTCCAGGCTAGCTGGCTTTGATTACATGGGGCTGGTTCCCTATTCAATGCTGCTCCCCAGGCAAGGAGCTCTTGAATTCCTGAGCCTTTAAAACTAGTTCAACTGCCTTAGACAGATGTATTAGTGAGCTGAGTATTTGCATAAGTATAAATATGGGTGTTTATTCTCTTGCTCTCTGACTTTGTTGATAGCATATATACCACAATTCCAAGTCTGGAAGAGGAAAGTGGTCCCAGCACCTCACCTGCCTGGATAATACCCTTGGGCACATGGTGTGATACTTGGGAATGGTGTTGTGCAGGGCCAGGAGCTGGACTCGATCATTCTTCTGGATTCCTTCCAACTCAGAATATTCTGTGATTCTTGGATTCTGTGATTCCTAAAATCTTTCCTAGCAAAAACAAACTCATAATAAACATGCACGCAGAACATTGGGCATACAAAGGACACCCAGTATAAGAATTGGAAGTCATGAGATTTCAGGGTTATTCTAAAGAGAAAATGTCTTAACAAATCATTTCCTTCAGTCAAAATAAACCTAGATCCAAACACATGGTGCCTATATAAAACTTACTATTTTTCAGAAGACTAAAGTTCAAACCACAAATTCCAGAAATGCGTATTAAAAATGCTATTAGGCATGCAAACTCTAAATTAAATTAAAACAGAAATGAAAAGGGTCTTGGAATCTGTAATTTTGTTATGCTATGTGTAAGTGTTTTGAAGGAGGACAGTACTTTGGGTACAAAATATTTGGCTGTGTTAAGAATGCAAGTTTCTGCCAATTTATTTTTTTTTCTTGTTTGATAACACAACCACCCAAGACTCTCTCTTTTGAAGGAACTGGCTGCATGTGGCTGAACACAACTCATTCCAGTGATAGAGAAGAAGAACTGAAATGGATTGCAACAAAAGCAATGTGTATCTTCTGGGATCCTTCTATAGTTCAGTTGATTTGGGACATTTCCACTGCCTCCGAATTTACTGTGAAATTTGAATTTTGCCAAAATCCCTGAGAGAAATTCACTTTCAATTCAAAATGCCATACATTAAAAAAAAAATTGGAGAGCTGTCTCAGAAAATTAAAAGATTAACCAAAAACCCCTCAAAACCATTATGTTGACATGAAAGAGTCCAAAGGAAGGTGCCCTGAGCCAGCAGAGTGTCCCAGTAGGACACCAGGGCCTTCTCCCCAGCTCTAAGCTCACCATCCAGGATGTGCTCAGGATGCTGGTGGTCAGAGGGCTCTTTGCTGGTGCATGTGTCTGTGTGGAGGAGAGAGAGAGGAGGAGGAGGAGGTAAAACAGGGTAGCAGTGGTCAGGAAAACTCTAAAACTGAAACAGGGTCAATAAAACCTTAAAACTGAAACTGGAAGGCATTAGAGGACAGGTGTTTTCTCATGGCTCATGGCAGCTCACAAAACACAGTTTTTTTCTGAGGAAAGTCAGCAAAAACAATAGTTATTGTTCTGTAACTCACCCAACAAAAACAGCAGTACTGATGATTCTGGTATTTGTGACCAACCAGAAACCAATTAATTTAGCTCAATAACTGGAAAAAGGAAAACATGTCAATCAGCAGAAACTAGGCTGCTGTGTAGGGCAGTGGGTATCAATGATAGCAAGCTCAGATGATCACAAAACATGTCATCTAGAGCAGTAGTCAAAACAGGAGTCCTTGAAGCAGGGAGGCTTTTTCCCTTCACCATCCCTTAGCTTCAAAACAAACATATCTGCCAGACAAACAACTTCTGGATGAGAGATGTCTTTAAAAGTCTGTCCTGAACTAACACACCTGAGGCAATCACCAAAGTGTTTTTATGTGAGTTGGCATTTGTATTCAGGCATTGAGAAAGAAACAAAAATAAGGAAGCTCACAGAATAATTACTGTGCTGATGGTGTGATTGTGTCAGAAATACAGGCTGGTCAGACACTCATTCATGCAACAATTGAGCACATGCCAGCAAGCCAGGCTACAAACTAAGGGAGCAAGCATGGACACATATTTGTGAAGTATATGATGATGCCTATGAAATGTTTACCCTACACAAAGTTCACTTGCTCATTTCTTAAATATTCCTTATAGTAGGATATTTGTCTTACCAGGAAAGATGAACTTTCAGGTACATATTGCTATAATTTACCTGTGTCTCTCTCTCTTTCACACACACACCCACCCACCTCTTCTAAAAGGACAGATTAGTCCTCAAACTAGTTAAAGGTGTCAATGTCTCCATCTAACCATTTAGGCCTTCTGAAGTCCTTATAGTCTTATTTTTTTCCATTTAAAAAATAACCTATATTTGTGCTTAAAAATTCTGCAATAAACAAATACAATGAAATCAATAGAATTGTGAAAAATTACTGGTAAATGAAACCAATAATTAAAAGAAATTACTTGGGTGTAACAACCTGATTACTTTGTTTGATAGTGGAATGTGTTTTAAACTACTGTTTTTGGAGTGTTGGCATAAATTTTTCAGTTCTGACATAAGAATGGAGATATATTGGGTCACTTTTTCTATATGTATCCTCTGTTTTCTTAGGGCTTTATTATTAGCTTTGAAGAACTGAGAATTTCAATTTAGGAACCTAACTGAATGTATCTTGGAAATCTATTTCAACTGTGGAAACAGATTCCTGAAAACAAGCACTGGATTTTAGGCTTACTTGATTATGTGCTCAATACTAGCTTTATTTGAAACAACAGAAAAAGAACGTGGTTATTCTGATACTGGGTTCTAGAATAGTACCAACACAACAGTCAAAACTATTTTTGTCACCTGATTTTAAATACAGGTCTAACAGGAATTTTCACAAAGGAAAAAATAAAATTCTACTACCATAGAATCACAGAATCAAATTGGAAGGAGCCTTGTATCTCATCTAGTTCACCTCCCTGCCCAAAGCATAGCCAACTTCAAAATTATATCAAGTTGCTCAGGGTTTTGTTGGGCCCACACTTGAATATCTCAGAGAGGGAGAATTCTCTGGATTTAATCACTCTTCCTGTTAGAAGTTTTTTCCTTTATTCAACTGGAATTTCCCTTGCTGCAACCTGTGTCCACTGCCTCACAGAGTTTGCTGATGTCTCTTGTATGTGGAGGGGTGGTGGTGGTAAAACTAAAGGAAAAACACTGGGCACAATATTGAAATGTACTGTACTCATAACCCCACTAGTGATGTGGTTTGGTGTGAATTCAGGGTTGTTTTCAATGGAGAATTCAGAATGTGCAGTAAAACAAGGCTGAATGTACAACACGCTGGCTACTCCACACTTCAACTCTGTAAATATTTAGCAGACACTTAGCATGAGCTAATTTGTAAGGCAGAGTAAATTCTTGTAGAATGACTGTCTTAAAACATGCTAAGAGGATCCACAAAGAAATTTCTAACTTACAGGCTTCCTTCCTTCCCTTATGGTACAAGTTGAACCATACCAAATTATAGACAAGGTATTGAATTTGGAGCTCCTCCTTCACCCCCTGTGAGAGCAGATTGTTCATACTTACTTCTCTCCTATCTTAAGGCTGCTGAGTGTCCTTAAAGTCCTTTGATGAGGTGCCATGTGGAATACCTTTTAGAATGCAAGGTAGGTAACAGGAACTGACACTCACTTATCAATTTGTTGGGTGTCTCTGAAGAGCTCTAAAAGCCATGTGAGTCAGGACTTCCCTTTAGCAAAGCCACATTGTCTCTTCCCAGATATATCATACTTATTTTGGTGTCCACCATGACCCTTATTTAGATGTTCAGTCTGCTCCATTCCTCTTGTTTAGTTCAGCAGGTGCTATCTGTCTGCACTGTACCTGAAATGTGATGCCTTAAGCTATTCCCAGCTCCCCTTCAAGAATTTAACTCCCCATACCTTATCCCCTTAAATTCTGCTGAGCAGTGTAATAAAGTCAGCTACTGCTGCATGATGCTCCAACCTCAGGAAAATCTTACAGATGAGCTTGGGAAGGCTGGTTTACCTTCATGAACATGCTGAATCCAGTTTTAAGGAGATCAGTGAGGCCTGATGAAATGTGCTCAATATCAACAGGATCGGGCCGATCGGGATTGCAGACCTCTTCCACCACCTGTTTCAGCAGAGGTTTGTAAGAAGCCTGCACAAAGAGAAAATGCATTGTGAGCAAACCTGTTTAGACTCAGTGCAACCATGATTCAAAATATTTTATTTCTGTTAAAGGTTACAGAAATAATTATCCCACAAATGAAAGCATTCAGAGAGGTTGTGTCCTTGACTGCAGATGGTGTGCATCAGCACAACATCAGACTGAAAGACTGGAAGGGAGCCACACATTTACTCTGCCCCATGTGTATAATATCAGTAAAGAGAGACAAGGAAGAAAATGGGGACTTTTACTTTCTCTAGAATCCTTTTGGAGGTAATACAGAAATGGATAACCATACAGATGGTGCACAGAGACACTGTTGCCCATTGTGCACCCAGATCTCATTCCCTTTCTAGTGCTTTTATAAACACCTAAACAGGGACTTTTTTTTAATTGACCACTCCTACCTTATTCCAAGTGTCATGTCCCCATGGATGTCTGGATACCAGCAGGGAAGGGAAGAGACCAACCTGCCTGTTTGTCCCTCATGGGAGAGCACAACTAAGGAGTCTCTGTTAGTCCTTTAGCTTCTATGGCCATGGCACTCCACATAATACTTCCACCTGTGGAAGACTTCTGAATAACAGGCCAAACAACCCCACCACTACCATGAAGGTCACAGCTTCTGAGAAGTTAGGGGCTAGGAGAAGTGGAAAATGTAAAGGTACAAATGATCAACTGGATGGAAGGTCTACTCCAAAAGGATCAACCTTGTATCCTCTTAGGATCCACAAACCCTGTCTAAAAATGAAGTAGTAGCTCAATAATCTCCACATTCCAATACCAAGGTTTAAACCACTCTGACATGCTGAAAAAAATTTAAGATAAAACTTTTAGGAACCAATGGAAAGATGTTTAATGAAAATTCAAGCTTGATTTACAGATGGAGCTTTATTTTACTGCTTTGAACTTTGCCCAAACTGCAACACAACCACGATCATTTCAGAAAGTGCAACCATCTTAGAAAATGAGCAGCTTTAAAATTAGCAGACTTATTTGGTTTTGGGACTACCCCAGATATATATCATGCCTTAGATTACTTAGGGAAATCAAGTGCAACATCATTAATTTTGCAAAGATGGTATCTACAAGAGACATATTGCAAGTAAATAGTAAAAGTTGATGGAAAATAAAACACAAACCACTTGGCTTGAAACTAAAATTTTCTGGAGTCATTAAAGAAATGTTTTTCATCCAATACTTTAGAATGAGAAACAAAGCTTACAGTTTTTTTAATACAATGCTGTCAACAAAGATTTATGCAACTCATCTACTTCTTCTCACAACATGTGCATAATTTTTAGTTGAGCCAACAAAGCAAATTACAGCAGACACGAGCTGCGGGATCTTCTAGAACATGTCAAGATTTCTGTCAAATCTAGTCACGCAATAAACAACTGTTTGAAAATACACATGCAGGCATGAAGTCCTATTTATAAAAATCTGTTTAATATCTTCATAGATGAGGAACAGAAAAACATTAGGAATGAAATATTTTTGGAGCAGAGATCAAATCACAGTTTAACAGAGAGGCTTACTCCACAAAATTAAAGGAAAAACATCATCTGACTGAAATGAAAAATATCACTCAGACAAAACTCTCTACTCAAAAGACGTCAAAAATTAGCTATGATTTTGCATGTCTGAATTTTCAGAACCATAACTCAGTGCCCTTTAAAACAACCCAGTCAGACTACACAGATACTAAAATACAGATAGTACAATCCCCTACCTTTTTTAAGTATAATGGTTTCAAATATTAAAAAAATCTTTATGACTTGAAATTAATCTACTATATTTGTAGGGGTTTTTTTTCCATACAACTCCCAAAACCTGCATTGGTTTCTTTCTCATATAATGAAACTTGGATCAACTTTAAATTTTGGCAGGCACAAATTTGTTTAAAATAGCTGTTAAAAATCTCAATAGCTATGGGACACACATCATATGAGATTATAAAGGGGAGAAGAGAGAGAAACAGAGACAAAGAGGGAGAATGAGGAAAGGAGAGTGAGGCATGGAAGAAGGAATGGAGAATGGGAAGGAGGAAGGCAGAAATATACCTAGATCAAGATGAAAGTAGTTTCAATAACAGGCAAAATTCTGTTCTTGCATGGTCACTACATGAACTAATTTGACAACCTGATGAAAACATTTATCATTTTATGTAAGACAAACAAACTACAATGTTACAAAAAGTCCTTCTAAGAGGCTATCCAATTTCCAGTTACTTATCCATAGAAAGCTTTTTTGAGTCTTAAGAAAGAAATGGAAGCTTCCCGGCTTTTAACAAGCAAAGTGAAAAAGTATGTAGAGGCTAAACCCACTCCCATAGCACTAAGCAGGTTTGGCAATGAGTGTGGTCACAGGACAGGCACTGCTTCTGAGGAGCTGAACTGATTGCACACAATCCCTGCCAGCCAAAAGAGAGGCCCATTTCCAGAGAGCTGTAACTATCATGGACAATCACACACTGCCTGCTTATTTCTACTATTATAAATCTCCTGGACTTCCCTCAGGAGAAGGTTTGTCCTACTCAAGCAACTAGATCCCTTGCATGGCTAGATTAAGGAGATGCAAGGTGTTAATATATTCCTTGCTGTGTTCCAGCACTTATCCCTAAGCAAGCAAAGTGGATTACATCCAAAGGACATTCTGATGCTAATTACACTTCCAGGAAACTTTCCTTATCTTCTCACTGCCCCTGCACTGAACTGTATTAAATGTTTAACAATTTTCCCCATTTTGGACACCAGACTGTGTTCAAACTGCTAGAAGACTTCAGGAACAGGTTTTCTTCATCTTAGAAATTTCCAGTGACATTTTGCAACAGTCGTGTTCTTCCAAAGCAATGCTTAATTTGAACTACATCCCTTTGCTGGTCTACAGCACAATTAGGAGTTTGGAAGGATTTTTTTATGGCTCAAGGCTAGAATCATGTTTTATGATCCCTCTCTAAATCACTACTTTCAGCTGTAGAATTCTATTTTTAACTGGGAAAGGTCTTCAGGAGAGACAGAGAGAAGGAAAACCACTATTAGTCCTTATGACCTAAAGTAGTGTTGTAGACCATCTGTTCCTATTTCAGAAACAGAAGCTGCTTTTGTGACCTATTTACAAACAAGTTTGTCCCTCATGCTTACAGGGACAGGAGAGGAAATACAACAAGAATATAGCCGCAGTATGGGTGCAGACATCCTGCTTCACTCTGCCTTGAGCAGTCTAAGTCGAGAGCCATCTTGACTTAGCCCTGCCTTTCACAGGCATTCATGTCATTCCACAGTGCCGCAGAGCAAAGCCCAAATCTCTTCCTCAGAGCTGACATTGATATGCATATGCCTGAGCCTGGACAGAGGATTTGAGGAAATTTTTGATGGCTGGGTCAATTATAAAATCTATGCTTAAGTATCTTCTTCATGGGCAGAATGTGTATAGGATTAGCACATCCACAAAATTAGTGCTGTGATTTTGAGAGCAGGCTAGAGAAATAACAAACACAGGGAAAAGACAGCTACACTTGCCTGGTGGGTGTTGCTGCCTGGATTATGTATGGAATGGAACTGCTTCATGTGCACTCGGACCCTGGCAATATCCCGGAGGGACCGGAAGATACCGTCCACGGCATCTGTGGCTTTCTGAGATATCAGGTTCAGCGACGAGTCACAGCCTAAAGAAATAAAGAAACACACAGCCGAGTGAGTGAAAAATGTTCATGTGTTTTGATAATAAACAGTAGGAAAAGGGTAACTGGGAGGAAATTTTAAATTATTTTTATTGTATTTTATTCTGGAAACTCGGGGGCTTGTTAGGCAGCATGTCCTCAGCATGGCACAAGTCTCTGCAGATAAGAAAGAAGGCAAAAATTCTGGACAGCAGGCAAAGTGAAGAGTGCCTCTCTTTGTAACCTCCATCACACAGCATTTTCATCAGCACAGAGGATATTTTGCTCTTCACAGCCAACAGAAGGTTCCATGCTAGCAGACCCCAAAGAAGAGCCCCCTGTTATGTGGGAAGGAGCCAGCTGGTTTGCTGGTCTGCTTGGGTAAACAGCCATGAAGAAGGGAACTGCTCCTCCCTGGCCAGCAGCCTGCTCACTCCAAATACATTTCCTACCTTTGTGACAAGAAAAATGGAAGAGTCTGTGCTAAATACAGCAGAAAGGTCAGACACACTTTGGAAAGAGCTGCACTATCACAAAAAAGTTCCTATCCCTCAAAGTGGCAGAGTTATTACCTCTAAAGTATTTTTTCCAATGCACTTCTTCTAAGGTATAATGCTTATCTTCCACTAAGGCTAAATTCCAATTACAGGACCACCTAAAATGTCCCTCTGGGTGACCAGACAGGGCCTTGGAAAAAAGAATGTCTTAGTCTTGGCTCCATCCCCCTCACCATACGACCTATACTGCACAGAAGCATTGAAATAAATGCTTTCTTAACTCCACTGCTGATGAGAATTAGCCAAGTGAGAGGTAAGTGGGTCACCTGATATTTTTATTGCCTTGTCAACACAGTTCTACTCCTCTTCATATCTCCCTGCTTCTCTGCTTGCTTGACTCTTCATCCTTGTGGCAGAAAATCCATCATAAAATAACTCTTCTTGCCACATGCTCACACCAACACACTCCCTCCTGCTTATTGCTGTTGTCTTCTCCAGGGATGCTCCTGTAGTAGCTTCTGAGTCCATCCTCCAGTTCAGAAACCAATCCTGCACCAGCAAACCTCTGTGTCTATGCAGAATCCTGCTGAGAGGACAAGGTCTCCCTGCAGGTCCAGCTTGCACTGTGCTGCACCCTTGGAGCCTGGACTGAAAACAGGCATCCAGACTGTCAAGAAGGCACCTGGATTTTGGGGTAGGAGATCCCTGAACAAACTTTCTCTGCAACTAACAAAGGACAGAACCCTTGTGTACTTTAAAAAAATCAATAAATAGGTGGTAAGTTCAAAATGTACAGGGAATATTTGATAGTGAATCTGTGAATTACTTTCATACCTTGTTGTTCCACACAGCAAAAACTATACACAATATAAACACATACACACACATACACTTCTAGAGCTCTGAAACTGTTCCTAAATGATAGTGATTAGACACTGAGCTATCATTTGTCCAAATATCATTTGTTGAGGAGAAGTGTGGGAGCCCTGGAGCACTGGGCTGTGCTCAGCTGTGCCTTCCAGCAAAACTAGAAGTGTATCTCCAGGAGCACTGGAGCATGGAGGGGCCAATGTCCATTTCCAGTGTCCAGGTCAGAGTGCTGAGCTGGACCCAGTTTGGGATCCCAAGGTGGCACTGGAAGATGAAGATTCAGTCTGGCTGTTTATGGCTGGCCTGACAGAGGGAAGAGAGGTGTACTTTCAAATTTCTCTAAAATGTGACTTCCTTGGGGCTTTCCATCAAGAAATATAATGTCTGAGGAACTAGGGATATCTATTTCCAGCCTGACATCCAGTACCTCTTTTTTAATGTAAATGAAAAAATAAGTTTTCTTAACAATCCCTTATTGTTGAAATCAAAATCTCTGAAGGCTGCTGTCTACCTGTTGTTCTAGGGTTATAGAGAGGAGCCAGGTTTCTTTCCAGCCTGGAGAACAACAGAAGCTTGTTTTTACAAGTGGCAGGCAACTACAAATCACCTCCCATTCCCACCTTCCCTGAAAATGGGGCTCTGCAGCATATGGAGAGCAGAACACAGTCTCTCTTCTCTGCTCGCTTCAAGCTCCCAAGAAATCGGCCCCTTTTACAGCAGTGAAGAGGTGGAATACATTAGCTGCTGCACAGCTCATGTACTAATTAAAACAAAACTTCCTCTTACTGTTTTTTCTTGGGAAGTTAAATGCCATTTGGAGAGCATGCTGAATGGATTCTTTTGAATCCCAAGCTCTATTATACATGGGAAAAGGCATTTAAATAAAATTTTGGGATTTCCTGTTGGACTTGAAGAAGCCCAGTTGTGGAGAAAAAGAAAATCACCACTAACCTGCAGAGGACTCAAGATTTTAAAGAACATAGCCTAGTTTTGCAGTGAAGAAAATGAGTCTGTTGGGAGCTGCATTCAGTGCCTACCAGCATGAGACTTATGAACTTTTCAGGAGACAAAGTACATCTCCTTTTAAGCAACACATCTGCATAACCACTATTTTCACAATTAATCCATTTTCACACAAAGTTTGAAAAAAGGAGAATGAATGGAGATGCTGTTTTCTACAGTATTGAGTGACCCAGGAACCAAACAGGACCAGCTTTTCTACTGATTTCTGAAACTGGAAGGAAGATGCTTTAAGAAAAGGACATGGCACTGTGAATCCACAATAGAGATTCATAATTAAAGAGCAGCATGAGATTGATTATCCTCCCTCTACCTCCAAAATGTAACAAATGGGAATTTCAGACCTGAGTTTGAGGAAACCTTTCACTCTTATTTCTTAGTCTATTTTGGTACACATAAAAAAACTTGTTCTTTCTCTAAAGAAGTATGATAATTATCAACATTTTTGGAAGGATTTTGATAATTCAGAGACATCACTAGGCCTATGATTCTTACAAAGTTGAAAGTTTAGGAAAGCTGAAAGTTTACCACTCCACTCTGTTTTATTGGTATTAATATCAGCTCTCTCCACCTTAGGCTCTCTCTATAACCCTTTTACAGAAATAAAGCAATGTAAACCCTGCAAACCCTGGAACAGAGCCAGTAGAATAACCAAGCTATTTCAGAGCACACATTGAATCCTGGGCTAAAACAGCAAACTTGCACTCTGAGGGAGAGAAAATCCAGCATCAGGATTTCATTATGCAGGATTTCATTATTTTTTAGATATGCAAAGTTAATGTGTTTGTCAGCAAAAGACAGAAGAACAAAAGAGATAAAGGGTTCCTTGAAGGTTAGAACTGAAAATAAAGCACTATGATATTAAATTAATTAAAATCTTCTATTTTTATACCTTAGGTGATAGCATAGCAACATGGGCCCTTCTTTGTCTAGCAGATAAATCTAAGGATCTACATATGCACATCCAGAGCCATATGTTTTACAATAGTCTTGGTATATTTGTGCATTAAGATCTTTCATGCAAAATAAGTTACAAATGTGTACAGTGACACAGATCATTGCTGGTTTTTGCAGGACAAAAAAAAGTGTAAAACCCAAAATTAGGATGTAATTTGCATAATTCTCCTGTCACTTTTCTTCCCTATGGATTCTGCCACACATTTGAATCTTTATTCTTCCATCTGATTTGTACTGAATTGTCTGATAATCTTTGATGCATCTAAAAAGTGAAGCTGCTAAGTGAGTGTGACACTGTGGTACAAGGAAGGACAGGCCAGAACACAAGAAATCTGTCATTTCCCTATAGTTACACCAGCAGAAGGTGAAAAATTGTAATTGATTCCCTTCTAATTTGGGGGAATTCAGAAGCAAAGTGTGTTCTACAGCCCTTGAGTGAAGAGAGTGTCCAGAAGGGGCAGACACAGTGGTGCCTGTGACAGCTTCCCTGCAGCACATCCATCCCCAGGGCTGCAGAGGCTCCTGCTCACTGTGCTCACTGTGTCCTCTGTATCCCCAGCCAGAGCATGTGTGGTGCTGGATAGACAGCCAGGTCCACCCCTATCAACTTTGTGGCCCTCCTATGCACTTGTTACAACAGTTCCATATCCTTCTTATGTTGGGGATCCCAGAGCTGGATGCAGCACTCCAGGAAGGGTCCCACAAGAGCAGAGCACAAGGGGAGAATCACCTCCTTCAAGCTGCTGGCCAGCCCCTCTTGATGCAGCCCAGAATTTGGACTGCCAATGCCAGCAGGCAGAAAAGATAGGCAGCAGGAGGAAAGAACAGAATAGCAGCATATGGGAAAAACATTAGAAAAGGGGTGGGGGGGAATGCACACAATATCAAAAATCAAAGCTCTGTGCTTCTATAATTTTAATTTATGATCTGATTGGCACACAGAGAGTAAAAACAATGATGTGTTTTGGGGCAGTCACCAGCACCATGCAGTGCAAGTGATGGTATGGGTCTGGTGTCTATGACAGGAGGAGTGTGCATCACATCCACTTCCAAGGTAACCACAGACGGCAGCATTGTGACCAACAAAGGTGCAATTTGTGGTTTTATTCTCATCACAACAAACATCTCCCATTGGAAAGAAAAGCCCAGGATAGTTTTTTTTAAGAGTAAACTAAATTTAGAATCCTATATCTCTGCTTCAGCTTTTAAATATGCATCCACAATCAGCACTCAGTGCTGAGCATCCAGGGATTGCACACGTATGTTTCCAAGGGCATTTGAGCACATTATCTGATCTTTATTACATAGGGACACATCCTGCAAGTTCTGGAGCTCCCTGAAGTGCACTGTGCTTGGAAAGGTTGTTTGTGACATCAAGTCTTTGAACCCTCTTCTGGAAACTGCTCTTTGGTGTACAAGGGACACATAGACCATGTGGATAAGAACTTTGCTGGATCTAAAGCTGCACATGAAAAAATCTGGCCACTAACCTGCATGATTAAATATGGATTTAAGAGCTACTTTAGGAGAGTAATTTTTTTTTTTTTAATTTTGGCCTTGATATTTGGATATTTCGATTCTACAGGAATATTTTATTGCCTTCTTCTTGCCAAAATCCAACAGCACAACTTGTAATATCAACTTTTATGAAGCACTGCAAGC